TAGATAGTCCAAGTTATCTGTTCAATGGGAAAAAAGAAAGCACTTGCTATCTTCAGCTCCAATCTTTTTCCCTTTCTTTTTGATAGAACCACATTCATTTCTTCTTATGAGCAGATAATAGTATAGATGGTAAACTGCTATTTACTCAGCCCTGCCATACTCAGCCTGAGGAGTGAACAAATTTTCAGCTAGTGGATTAACTGGTTTTTTCTCTTTATTCTCTGGTGGTTTGGGGTTTTCTACTTGTTTTAGGGTTGTCTGCACTGGTAACTAAAACTGTGGCAGTACAAATATTAAGGTGGCTACTGACCTTGGATATCGCCTCCTTGATTTTCCTCTTCGTTACTATCCTCTCTAGACTGTCTTTGTGAGGAAGGCTCCTGCAGAATTAATCACCTACATAGTATGCTTCACTGGTTGCTGCAGTCTGGGTTTGGGATGTTCCCCAAAGGCTCATATGTTGAAGGCCTGATGTAGTAATGTTCAGAGGTGGACCTTTGGGACTGATTCATAAAGACTCTAAGCTCATCAATAGACTAATCCATTGATGGATTCATAGATGAGTGGACTACTGGGAAGTGGAAGAAATAACAGAAGGTGGGACCTAGTTAAAGGGAGTAGGGCCTTGGGGGCATGCCCTTAGGGATTATACCATCTCCTCACTCTATCCTATCCATCATGAGGTGAGTACCATATTCTACTATGTTTCCCCATCATGATGCACTGCCTCACCACAGACCCAAAATCAATAGAGCTAAGTGACCATGCACTGAAACCAAAAAACAAATAAATCTTTCCTCCTCTAAATTGATTTTCTTGTATTTTGTCACAGTGATTATTATGGATTATGTCTTTACTGTTCCACAAAAGGTTATGTGTGAGGCAATGTAGGAATGTTCATAGGTAAAAGGATTAAATTATGAGAGCTGTAACCTCATCATTGAATTAATCCATTTGATCCATTCTGAACGAACTGCTGGATAGTAACTGTATGTAGGTAGAGTATGCCTGGAAGAAGTAAGTCACTAGGAGCATGGCCTAGACTATGGCCTCTCCCCCATGCTCTCTGCCTGTCTTCTGGCTGCCATAAGCTGACAGTTTTCTTCTTCCATGCCCTTACACTGTAATGTTCTGCCTTACCTTTGCCCATAGCAATGAAGTCAGTCAACTGAAACTCTGAAATTGTGAGCCCAAAATAAAATTTCCCTCCTCTAAGTTGTTCCTGCCAGGTAGTCTAAACTCAGTGATGGGAAGTAGACTGAAACACTGGTCTACCTTGTCCTTCTGTGCCCTGATTGCCAACCCTGTCACTCACTTCTCCTTGTAGAGGAAGACTGGCATACTGTGATCCCTGCCCATAGTCTCCACATGTAGCAGTAAGATGGGAACCTTTAACTGTAGTAGGGCAGGCATTGTTGGGTCCAGCCTTCCGAAGCATTCTCTGATGCCTCTCTCTTTTCTCTATTCTACCATTCTGATAGTCCACTGGTAATTATGTAGAGGACCCCTGTGATGCATCTATAATGGTTACAATATGCTGTTTCTTTACTGCCTAGAACTGGAACTCTACCAGAGCATGCAACCTTTGCTGTCTCAGCACCCTTGCTTTAAATAACATTAAGCTCTCCATTTCTTTGTCAACTACACCATAAAGGTATTTCCTAGAGTTATTCTTTATGGCAGACTGGTATACAAATACATCTTCCTTGGTACCATTCTTATTTAATTAAACCATCTGTTTCTTGCACTGAACCATTTTACTATCCCTCAAACTTACCTTGTAATGACCTTCATATCCCCAAATGAAGGCACTCCTAAGGGAAGGCTGCCAGGGCCACCACTCCCTGTGCTGCTGTCCATGTTCTGGGCTTGGTACAGGCAGTGCTGATAAGTATTTTGTGTGTTATATGTATTAACACATACCAATAGGTTATATGGTGAAAAATGCTCAAGAAGTATGGAGAAATGTCTTTTTACTATCTAATGCAATTTACCGGAGACTAAATACTCACACAGATATCATTAGTGCCACAGGAATTTTATGCAGATACAACACTTGAGATTATTGCAAATAGCAACCAAATGTGGCTACAAAATTAATAGAGTAGTACAGTATGGACTACAATTAGTTTTATATAGTTAGATTTCAATACTCTATATTTGTTTACACTTTTCTTCACATTATAACTGATGCCATGTACACTCTATGTGTGCATGTGTTACACCAGTGTATGATAAAACAGACTATTATCTACATATAGTCTAAGAGATCAGGACATACCTAACTTTTTCTTAATTTTTTTTTTTTTTGGAATTTCTAGATATATAGTTCACTTGAAAATTTTTTCAAATACCCCTATATCTCAAAAACAAATTCATGTTATGTATATATACCCATGCAATTCTAACCCATTTTGTTCAAGAACCTAATGTATTTTCAATTTGACTCCATTAATTCTTATAATACCATGTATACTAAGAATTATTACTCCTACTGCACAAAGATAAAGACTCAGAGAAATTAAGCAACTTGCACTATTATAAGAGGAAAAATCTGAACTTAAGTCAGACAGTTCTCTGTCTAGAGACTATTTATACTCTTTTAACATCAGTGTATTACCTCTAAAATTCCCCAAATCATTCTAACATCATACAATATGGGAGAACCAATTAGAACCACAACTTGGAAATCAAATTTTCTTATCAAGTAAGGCTGAATATGCACAAAATCTACCTAGGTGGGAAACCTATCTATTTCGTTGCAAACTTTCACTAACATTCCTTGTCACTGATCCTAAATTATCCCTTATTCTGAGTATGCTAGATCATTCCCAACAGCATATGAGCATGAAATGAAACCATCCATAGAGTTGTGTACAGCTGCCTTCAATTTCCTTTCATTCTCTACTAAAATTCTCCATTCAGGATCTAATTTCCATCAATTCACTGAAACAGCTCTTTATAAGGGTCACAAATGACCTTCATATTGTCAAATCCAAAAGTAAATTCTCAGTCCTCATCTAATCTGACCCATCACCAGCATATACTTAATTAATTACTCCTTTTTTTTAAATCTGACATTCAAAATCTCTCTTGCCCTTGGTTCTTCCCTTCACTAGAAATTCCTTTTAAGCCTCTGTTGGTGATTCCTCCTTATCTTCCTGATTAAAAGTCAAGGTGTCCAGAGCTTAATCTTCAGACCTCTTTTTTTAGCTATACTAACATCTTGGGTGATCTCCATTAGGATCAGAATTTTAAATATTATTTCTTGCTAATAAATCCCAAATTTGTATCTTTAGCCTAAATTCTCCCCCAAATCACCAAATCAACTTTTCCCCTTTTGATGTTTACCTGGGATCTAATATTATTAACACATTCAAAATCTAACTCTTGCTATTTACCACCGTCACCTCCAACTTGTTTTCTCTAATGTTTTCTCACTGTAATTAATGGCTCCTATTTAAGATAAGAAGCTTCAAAGTGAAGCTTTTCTCAAATATCTCATGTCTAATACATCATCAAATAATGTAATCTCTTTCTCCAAAACATTTCCAGAATGTGTGACTTCTTAATCATTCCCTTGCTACCAATATAATCCAAAGCCCATCATCATCTCACATTTGTGAGGAGAATTTGTCTAGAAAACCTAAAGACGGTAACCTTCTTAATCATTTTCCATTTTTGTGGGTAAGAGATACTTATATAATTCCATGAACAGATCATTACATCTAAACCCAGAATCAAGATGACAAATAAGTTGAGCCAAGAAACTAGTCGATTAATCTTGTATCTGCTTGAGGTTTCATAATAAGAAGTAAAATAAGGTAGTAGGAAAAATTATTGAGGTATTTTTATTATCCACTTGAGAATACTCAGGTAGGGACAGCAGCCAAGGATTCAGAGAAGCAGCCTATAGCCATATCTATATAGTATATATCTAGCAGGAGCAACTGCTATAAAACAGATCTTGGAACACTTGAGGAACAGATAGATTTTACACTAAATCAAGTAAAAGGGAATCCTATCATTTGCCAGTTCATGATGTTTTTAGTGGCCATTTTAACGGTGTTTAAACATAGGATCTTTAAGAGATGACTGGGCCATAAAGGGTCCACTCTTATATATAGGACTACTACTGTTATAAAAGGGTAAGTTTGGCCCTTTTTACTTCTTGGTCCTTCCTCCAAAGGACAACGCAGCAAAAAGGCTCTTTACAGAAACAAGCACTTTGGTATTAGACTTCCTAGCTTTTAGAACTGAGACAATAAGTTTCTGTTTATTATAAAATATCTATTCTGTTATATTCTATCATAGAAGCATAAAGCAAACTAAATTTAAAAAGTTGGCATCTGAACATTGAGAAAACCCTCAATACATTTTTTCACCACCAAATAAAGCCTTGAAAACTTATATGGATTTAAAACATTGAAACCTTTTACAGGTTACATAGATAATCAGATCATGGACAAATTATAGACATTGAAATATTTGATAATAAAGATTGTATATTTCTTCTAGGAGTAAAAGTATATTAGATAACAGATTTTTTAAAATCCTAGAACTCAAATCCCTAACAATGTCTAAGGCAGATTCCTTCTGAAGTATTAACATGGAGGGCCTCACATAAAATATCCCTAGTGCCAATGCCACAAAGACAAAATACTGGAATAGTCAGATCATTATCCTAACCCAATATGACATTCCAATCAACAAAAACATTGTAAGGGAACCAGTCTTGAATCAAAAGACTGTATTAGTTCTAATACTACATGCATGATTCCAAAAATAACATTAAGAATTCTTATAGTTATAAAAATCATTGTGTATTCACTACATCTCAGATAACTATGATAGTTCTTGTAAGAGACACAAATAACTGCAAATAGCTTAGGTACTGGTAATCTGTTTTAAAAGTGAAATTAATGAAAGGTCACCTAAACATTCCTACACCTTTTGTAGGCGTAATAAAAATTTCCTAAGAAAGCAAATTAAGTATGTACCTTTCAGAGCTGTAGTCTTTTCATTTTCATCTGGACCTCCCTGCTGGATTTGTGCCATGCTTATCCAAACTGGCAACAAAATTAAAGAGCTCAAGGAAATAGACATCAATCTTCAGACAGTCTAGAATGAATGAAAGCAATAAATTAAGGTCTACTCAAATCCTACCTACTCCATGAGGACTTCCTAGCTCCTTCCACTAGAAGAGGACAATCTCCTCTCCTGATCTGCCACTACACTTTGTTGATCACTATTCCATAGCTCTTACTACAGCCTGCTTTGCATTATAGTTATTTATGTATTTATTTGGCTCAGTTAATAGTTTACAAGCTCTAGGAATATAGGTATCAAGCTTTTGTCAACATTGTAACTCTCATGTCACCATACACAATATCTTAAATCTGTATGTATTTTGAACTGAATTTACCCAAATTTACTAATTAGTTTCAATTCCTTATCAACTAATGTTTTCTTAAAAAAATAACTTCAGATAATTTTAAAAACTTGCAATTTCATTTAAACAGTAAGTATGTGTCATTAACAAGGTCACAACATCTTCCTCCTAAAATATGAAGTTAGAAGGAGAAAAATAAACACATAAAGCATCTACGAATTACCTATACTGTAATTAGAAACACAACTTAAGGAAAAAATTAGCCCATTTAAAAATGAAACTATGTTAAATTCATTATCTGGTGATAAATGGTATACTTTATAAATGGTCTCAAGTCGTTATAATATAAAATTTTGATTTATTACTAGTTCTGTTCTACATTGGCCAAAGGGAAGGCATTAAAAGTACAAATAAATTACTTTTCCAGGGGTGCCTATGATCAAGAATAGAAACACTATTCCTATTCCAAAAGTTTAAAAGGAAAAACATATAACACATACAATGGAAAAATATAAGCTAAAGTTAGTCAATTATACATAACTACAAGGGAAATTATAAGACAATTACATTGATGACAATAAAATACAACAGATTATTCCCCTAAGATACCCAATTGATTTGCTATGCACAAAGCAAACTGTGGTTTCCATTTAAAGATACGTCTTATGATTATCTTTAAAAAGAAATGTATTTCTGTAATTAGCAGAATGTTGGAGAAATAATCTAAAATTTACTTATTCTGCAAACAGGTAAAAAGTTTTAAAACATAATAATGAAAATAAATATTTTAAACCATAAATGTTCCAAATAGACATTACCAATGTTGCCCATATCTCAAGTTTAATTGCAGGTGATATAAGAGAAAGGACCCTCTGACTCTCCAACTAACTAGCCATGAATCCATGATATATTATTTAACTTGTCGGTGCTTCATTTTCCATATGTGTAAAATGGAAATGATAATCATGCCTCCCTCATAGTGAAAGCTAACTATAAAACATTTAGTATAGTGTCTGATTTATAATTAAGTGTTTGACATATGTTGGCTTATAGTTTTCAAAATTGTTGTAAATGAATCTTCACCACTTAATAACAACTCTGTGACCTCTAGAGAGGCACTTAATATCCAAAATATTCAGTTTTCTCACTTATAAAATGTGGCAATACCTCATATAATAGTAGTTAAAAATGTATAGCCAACCATTGCAATATTATTGCTACCAAATGAGATCTCCTAAAAAAAATAAAAATAAAAACTAAAATTATCAGTCAACTGCTACCATCTGAATCTGAAGTGTCTCTAAAGGCTTATGGGTTAAAAGCATGGTCATCGCCAATGGTGCTATTTGGAGGTGATGGAAACTTTTAGGAGGTAGGGTCTAGTGGAATAAAATAACATCACTGAGGGCATGATCTTGAAGGGGATGTTGGGGTCCCCCAATCCTTCTTATTTCTTGTTGTTTCCTTGCTGCCATGAAGTGAGCAAATTTGCTCTACCACAGGCTCCCTGCCTATGATGCTCTGATTTGCCACAGGCCCCAAAGCAACAAGGCCAACCAACCATGCACTAAAACCTCCAAAACTATGAGCTAAAATCTCTCTTCTTCTTCATTGAAGAAGTAGCTCCTATTTTTCTTCTGTGTATTTGTAACTTAAAATTCCATAAATTCAGCATAAAGTAAATGTATCTATATTCTATGAAGAGATATATCCCAGTCTATAGGTTAGGTAATGCATAAATCTCTGCAGCTGTAATGGTGAGTAAAACAAACATGGTCACTTCCTCTGCTTACTTACTAGCTAAAATCAAACTGCCAAGTGACCACAGCTAACATATTTCAGACCTAGACTGATAATTACAATACTGTTATAACAAAACAATAATTAAAAGGCTTATCAGCCAGGTACAGTGGCACATGCCTGTAATGCCAGTGGCTCAGGAGGCTGAGGCAGGAGGATTAAAGGCAGCCTCAGAAAAAGCAAGGCACTAAGCAACTCAGTGACACCCTGTCTCTAAATAAAATACAAAACAGGGCTGGGTATCACTGGTCAAGTGCCCCTGGTACAAAAAGGTGGGGGAGTGCTTATCAGGAATCAGTCCTAATATGTCCCACAAGTTGTATAGAAGTTTTATCAGCTTGTAAATACCATCCTGTAGCAAAAATTAAAGAGATAATTATCATACATGAAGATCATACACAGTGCCCTTTGTTAACAATTCCATGACTGCATTAACTATATATAGGCAAGCTTCATAAAATTTTTAGTTTCTCTGCTAATTCAGTATTTCTATTTTTATTTATTTTTCTTTTCTTTTTGTTTTTGGTACTGGGAATTGAACCTAGGGGTGCTTAATCACTGAGTCATCTCTCCAGCCCTTCTTGTTTTTATATTTTATTTAAAGACAGGGTCTTGCTAAGTTGCTTAGGGCCTTGCTAAGTTTCTGAGGCTGACCTTGAATTTGTGATCCTCCTGCCTCAGCATCCTGAGCCATTGAGATCACAGACGTGTGCCATCACACCAGGCTTAATTTGGTATTTCTTCTAATATAAATTATAAAATCATTTTTCCTTGGCCCCAAATTATCTGATTCCTAAACAGAATGATTAATATAATTATATCACTATGGCTACTTTAACAAAAGTAGAATTATAAATATATTTTGATGCTGTGAATCATACTCAAGATTCATATTTTAAAGAATCACTTTCAAGATCTAATAAATTAAGAATCATTATTCTTTTTATTTTTTATTTGTTCTTATTTAAACATGAAAATATAATATATTTTGACATACTAAACATATATGGAGGGGCTGGGATTGTGGTTCAGCAGTAGAGCACTCGCCTAGCACAAGCAGGACCCGGGTTCGATCCTCAGCACCACATAAAAAAAAATAAAGGCATTGTGTTATGTCCATCTACACCTAAAAAATAAATATTAAAAAAATACATATGGAGTATAACATCTCATTCTTCTGATTGTACATGATGTAGAATTACTTTGGTTGTGTAATCATATATGGATTTAGGATAGTAATGTCTAATTCATTTTACTATCTTTCCTTTTCCCATTTCCCCTCCCTTCTCCTCATTCCCCTTTGTCTAATCCAAAGTACCTCTATTCTTCCCTACCCTACCCTAATTGTGAGTTAGCATCCACATATGGGAGAAAACATTAGACCTTTGGTTTTGGGGGACTGGATAATTTCATTTACCATATTTTTTCCAATTCTCCATTTACTGCTAAATGCCATAATTTCACTCTTCTTTATGGCTGAGTAATATTCCATTATATATATTTACCACATTTTCTTTATCCATTCATCTGCTTACGGGCATCTAGGTTGGTTCCATAGTTTAGCTATTGTAAATTGAGTTGGTATAAACATTGATGTGGTTGCATCACCGTCATATACTGATTTTATGTCCTTTGGGTTTAGACGGAGGAGTGGGATAGCTGGGTTAAATGGTGGTTCTAGTCCAAATTTTCTGAGGAATCTCCATAATGCTTTCTAGAGTGGTTGCACCAATTTTCAGTCCCACCAGCAATGTATGCGTGTATTTTTTTCCCCACAGGCTTGCCAACATTTATTGTTCCTTGTGTTCTTGATAATTGCCATTCTGTCTGGAGTGAGATGAAATCTCAGTGTAGTTTTAACTTGCATTTCTCTAATTGCTAGAGATGTTGAATATTTTTTCACATATTTATTGACCAATCATATTTCTTCCTCTGTGAAGTTTCTCTTCAGTTCCTTTGCCCATTTATTGAAGAATCATTATTCTTATTTTATATGAGACAACTTAAAAATTCATATAGCAGTTTGCTGGAGTGATGACATATTAGAAGTTAAGAAACTACTAACTATTGTATATGGCCCTAAACCTTATAGTGGCAGATACAAAGCAAGTATGCATGAAGCAAAAGCAATTTGTCTGTTTCTCTCTTAATACACTGTGTTAGATTTTTTTACTCTCTTGAGTTACATTCCATGGCTGTGGCACAGCTGGTAAAGCTAAGCCAGAAACATTATAAATTCTCAATTTAGTTTTCCTAATAAAAATTCAGAGTTATAACTTTCATGACACAGATAAACACTATTGAAAATGCAGCCAGCAAGCCGTTTGGTACATTTGATATATATTAATATGTGCATTCAACATAGTTTATTCAAAATTATCTGATGGAGGTTAGGTTATAGGGAATAAAGTGGTGGAAGGTTTTTACTGATGTGAATTGGGACACAGTTGACATGTTGTACACTTCACTATAACCACTGCTGTTTAAATATGGTTTCCTAGAAATGGTTACAGTACAAACTAGATTCAAAACATCTCAGTTTGCAATTTCATTCTATGAACTACACAAAGCAATTATCATATCTTTCCCTTCTATGATTCCAACAGAGAATCCACTATGTATAAATAAAAAGTTATAAATAACTTGTCATGTGTAATCTTTATCTAGTCAGCATTTCAAAACATGAAACAGTAGAATATTTATTTAACCTGTTTGTTCAAAATATGCCATAAGCACTATATAAAATGTTCAGAAAGAAACACAGAAGCCTCATTTTTCCATGTTTGTTTTTAGCCAGGTATTAAATACAAACTAGATATAGGTGATTTTACACCAGGAGTCCTTTCCACCTTATATTCCGAATGCATTTACGAAAGTACAAAATATAGTGCAGAACAAGTAAAACTGGGTTAATTCTCTGAGGCCCCCA